TAGCTAGCATAAAGGTATTTGAGCTATAGACTTCAATAACTTTAATTACAGGTTACTCCTTTTTTGGTTATTATTTAAGTTGAAAGCCATTTCTGTAGCCAAAAAAAAACACAAATTGTAGGTGCGCAGTGGTTATCAATTATTTGGACAACTGCAACCGTTTGTATAGGTCCACATATCGTGTACATTAAAAGTAGAATGAAAAAGATTCTCCCATTTCAGTCAACAATTTAAGGCAACACTGCCTTTACTGTTAAAGTAAATCTGAATAAAACATCTAATAATCATATAACCCTTCTATATAGTTCTTAGCGTGAAATATATATATATTATATATATATATATATATATATAATATATATACAATCTTGTAGTTTTAAGATAATTATTCCAAATCAACACATGTTCAACCTAACAGCAATTCATTATGATATATTTATATTGCATTTAGCTTCATTGCTTATATCTTAACGTAACTTTTGGAAATAATAAGATAACTTACTCTGCCCAAAGACTTTAGTGACACAAAGAGATCTCAGAAATAAAGATGCAGAGATATTGGAAAATTATACAGACAGATTGAATGTGTTTTCAAAGATATACGGAAACAATACTACTCAGGACTGAAGGAAAAGAAAATACACCCAGGATTGCCGCTTGATTTTGGTAAAAAAAATGGGCCATGGCCTTTTCACTGTTGCCCTGTGTCTTTAAATGACACAGTGCAATTACAGCATTCTTAATTAGTATAGTTCAATAATACTGTAGTTTAGTTATAATCTGAATTGTGTGGGATTGTGGACTTTGCTGATACCATCTCGAATCGAAGTGAATGGATGAATGAACTTGTGCATCCGACTACTACCTGGCCTCCCTTGTGGACCTGAAATGACAAATATACAGTCTGGCTAATCTACAGAGGATAGCACTTGCTATTACACTGCACAGCCCCACAGGGAGGCTCGAGGAGAACATAATGGATAATTTGCTGATCTGGACATATTCTTTCTCTCCCTCTCTGTGTGTGTGTGTGTGTGTGTGTGTGTGTGTGTGTGTGTGTGTGTGTGTGTGTGTGTGTGTGTGTGTGTGTGTGTGTGTGTGTGTGTGTGTGTGTGTGTGTGTGTGTGTGTGTGTGTGTGTGTGTGTGTGTGTGTGTGTGTGTGTGTGTGTGTGTGTGTGTGTGTGTGTGTGTGTGTACATTTGGTAAGGAAGTGAGTATACATGTGCAGCAGAGGAAAGAGAGAGAAAGAGAATAATGGCTGTAATAAATGAAGATGAACATTCTAGGGCCTCTGCTCTCTTCCCGTGTTTTTCACAATTTTCTCCTCTCCCCCACTGCCAAATAAGTATTGATTTCCATGCATATTTATAATCTACACTTACCCAGGGGGTCTCCAGTGTTTTCAGAGGTGATAGGCCTGCTCCGTGGAGCAGAATCAACAATATCGAACACACACAGAATCTCCAATCCCTCCTCTAAGCTCTGATGATGCAAAGCATTCATTTCCAACTCTAGTTTGTTCGAGCATTGTGTACCTTGGGTATAGTGAAGCGATGGTGTAGGGTTTTATGTTGCGGTCAAACATTATTTATTCTGTTTTCTCCTCTTTGTTTGATTCTCTAAATCAAACTTAATATGGATTTCTGTAGTCCATTGTTCTGCAGTTTGTGCATTGTAGACATTAGCATAGCATTCATTGAGTTATCTAATGTTATTGCCTCTTACACTCTCTATTTCTGTTTTCTCTGCATGACATTGAATAAGATAATATATCTTCAAACTTGAATTACTTAAGTCTTCAAGCTTGGCTATGGCACTTTGATGGGACAGAATCCCCCAAAGACTCCCAACATGATAAATTATCCACTAATTATGTGAGTAATTGTAATTTTACTCGATTATGTTCTACTTTTCTACCCTACCGTAACACTTATTCCATTCATTTCTCTTCCACCTGACATTGAGATCAACTATGACTTCATTGTTCATTCCCTATCAATAGACTCTTTGAGCATAGAGCTCTCACAGGGGAGGCACAGGATAAAAACAAGAGACAGGTCTCCTAAGTGGCTCTTCATCTGCCTGCTGTCAGCCTTGACCTTGCTCTGATGGCTTAATGGACGTGCGTGTGGTGTGTGTTTCCTTTGTGTATTTTGTGTGTAAAGACAATGTTTGGGTACTTATCCGTGCTAACGTATGTTTTTAAATGTATTTGCCCATGGATTATGTAAGCAAACACATATATGTGTTCTCGCACAATATGTCTGACAAGCAAGTCTTAGCCCTTCAGAAAGCTTTTTCCTGTCATCAGCATGAAATATAAAGAATAACATATACATTTCAAAATCTAAGACATATACACACTGTCATGCATCGCTGACAGACCCAAGATGTATGTAGGTGGTGTCCAGTCTTCCATAGAGTGATTAAATGCTAGGTGGAGCACAAAGTACTCGTAGTTAGAGCGGAGATTTCCCCTGATGCCTCATCCCCTCACTCAGTGAATCAAAAAGAGAAACAAGTGACAAAAGGTTTCATAAACCAAATGTAGTGAGCGCACCACCTAGCACCACTGTTTTACATAGAAAGACTGTGAGAGGACACATGGCCAGTTACCATCCTTGTTCTATGACAAAGCATATGAAATAAAACTCAGTTGAAAAGGTTCAAGCAGGTTCTTTCAATATAAAAAAATGAATGCCTAAAAAAGCAAGAACTGAAATCATTTTGGAACATGAGTCAAAGTCATTATTGTCCTTCTGTCTTCTGTCCCTGTGTCCAAATGATTACAAATGATTGTTTTAATCTAATGTAATTTCACATACAAACCATTTTATGTTTGGTCAGGTTCAAGGTACATATCTCAAAACCCTATTGCTCGACTGCAAAGGTGATGAAGGACGGGACTGGCTCTGGGAAGGAGAAGTACTAACAACCAAATAAGAATTGACAGCAGAGGGCACAAGAGCCGGTCTAACTGGTAACTAAGAATGTCTGATATTACTTAATGGATTTGTAATGACTTAATGTCCTTCCAAGGCTTTGTGCATGCAAGCTGCAATGATGGTGACTTCTAAGAGGCTGTAGAAGTGACCGTGATCAGACCGTTTGCTGCTTTAGTTGTTGCTTTTAGAGTGGTGACACTGATTTCATTCTGGGGCACCATGAAGAAATAGTGAGCTCATCTGAGATTCACCATCCTCCAAAAACATTGTTGGCACACTATTGCATTCACTTTTGTTCTGCAAACCGACCTGTCTTCTAATTTCTTCAAGAAGCAGAGGTTGCGTGGATATGGGGGTGTCCGGGCATCTCTTTTACCCCCTGTTGACTGGATGATTTATCTAGCCCTAATGAAACGTTGATGTATGCTGGAAAAGGTACTTGTTATATCCAAGAAAGACACCTCTACAGGCAACACAAAATTGCGTGTGTGTAACAGGGGTGGGGCTGGGGGTGGGTTACTACCGACCCCCCTCTGACAGCGGCCCCGGTGATGGAACGTCCATGTTGGAAGTATTGCTGCCGGTGAAACTGACGGATAATATGTCATATCTTATGGTAGAAATATCTAGAGAATAGGTCTGACATATGGATGTGTTGTAGTAATAGAGAGGTAAAAATAGGCACTGAGAAGTAGAGACAGATAAAACAATGGGAGTTGTCGATAGAGTAAATAAAAAAGGACAAGAAAGATTGGAATCTAGAGAAAAACTCAAAAGTGTACGATAAAAATGATTTTCACTTTAGAAATCATTGTGGGTTTATTTTGTTTGGTCAGTTTTGAGCTGTGGGTCTGTAGCAGGTTATTGAACTTGAACACATTTCAGTGTGGATGAAAAGCACATTCTATCTTGGAAAAAAGAGGAAAGTATGCCTGTGGCTTGCCCTATTACATTTGTTGATAGAAGTACTCAGCTTTTAAGCTCTGTGTGTTTGTTTTTATGTTGGTGGTAATGACTTGCTTCACACAAGCAAAGCCTTAAAGAGGTTTACAATGTTCACTACCCATTTATCAATTATACACACTGAAGGATGGGCAAGGGAGTGGCAGCATCTGAAATGACAGCAGAGTTAAAACACTAGAACAAGAGAACAGAATAAGAACGATTAAAGAATAAACATGACAGCATGACAGGCATCCATGACACACACAGTCAGAAGAAAGGTCTAATGAGCCAGAACTAACGAATAACACAGTGTGTCTTTGAAATGTAACATCATTTATTGACAATAACAGTAAAGTACTTTCAATGTTTTAATGATTTATCACAAAAAGGAAGGACAAGAATATGTAGAGTCCGTCTTGCAATTGGATCCCTTGAGTCGGAATGCCAATACAAGGTTGTAACGCTTTAACCGTAAAAAATTCTGTACCCGACATTTCTTTTGACAGAATAAAATGTGTCTATGTATTTGCTTTTAAGTCTATTGATTGATACCCATTTAAAAAGAGAGAATTTGGAAAAACAAGTGATTTGTGTCCCTTTTTTGGAGAAAGAAAAACCGTGGTGAATGTAGTTCAAAAGAAACATTTATGTTTTTGTTTTGCAATTGGAGTACACAGTTAATCAAACCTATGAAACAAGCCAAGGAAAAATTAGAAACCACACAATACCATATTCTTAGACCAGGTAGACATTAGAGCTTTCTTAAAGGCTTTTCTCTTGGAAACAAACAGGACCACAAGCTGAAACCATCACCATTTACACAATATGTATGGAGCTTAGCATGTTAAATATAACGAATACCATCACCAGTAACCACCATTTCATTATCAATCCTTTGCCTAAACAGATACACAATTATTTTTTTCTGAATAACTTTGGTATGTGAGGGTGTGTGTGATTCTTTATCACTAAGGTCACCTAAAATTAGATAAACAATATTAATATTAATTTAGCATACCTTTAAATGTTGTAGTGAAGGAAAAGAAGCAGAAACATGTTTGATTAGCTTTAAAATGAAGTGGACATGAACATGAAGAAATATTTCAGATTCAGTCGCAGGCACATTCAATGGGATCATCTGCATCTGATTCTGTCCCGGTGACATCCACCTCACACAGTGTGAGGTATTCTTTTTTTCCAGGAATCACAATGTTTACATACTGGCCTTCCATTCCATCGCAAACAAATGTTGTTGAGCTCCCAGCTGTGATATATGAGATAACAGCACATCTGGTGAAATAAATTATGTAGATAATCAATTCAATCGTTCCCTGTAACTTTCAGAGGTAAGGTAACATTTATAAATATTATATAAGGCAGATAGTGCTGTTACCTGGGATTAGTGTTGATATTGTCATTGAGGGAATTGATCCTTTCATGGCAACAGTCTCCTCTGTAGGAGGTCCAGTCTCCACCAGGGTTTGGTTTGTAGTGATGTGTGTGTACAGGATCCCTTTCCATATATGCTAGCACGTTTCCATCAATGGCTCTTTCGGGGACACCATTCCACCCCACGGAGGACTGAGTCACTTTTCCACCTTTAGCAATATTAGTAGCTGGACAAAGTAACAACATTTGTCATGGAACATCGTTTGATGATATCACAGAAGTTGTACCTATGTTCATCTGACTAGAGATGAAAATGAACAGGCAGTTGCCATATTTGATTTTACTTTTAATGTGATTATTTGCTTTCTATTGAATCCTTTATATCAGGGGTGGGGAACCTCCGGCCCCCGGGCAGTATACGGCCCGCGAGACCATTTGGTGTGGCCCTCGAGGTAATTTATAAACACACGCAAAAAAGAACAAAATTAAAGAAATCTAGACCGCAAAATAATTAAACAAGTGAGTAACTGTTTTTCCTGGCTAAAGTCAGGGTCCTTGAACACAACACAAGCCTAACTTGTCATCACGTGGTATATGTCTCGTCTGACAGAGGTGCAGTTCTGACGGGGAGCAGTGAGCACCAGAACGCAGCTCCATTCCGGCACTTCCAAAAATTGCAGTACCCATAAGGAGCCGTACACATGCTGCAGTTTTTGCGTGGCTGTCTTAGTTGAAAGCCCAGTGGCGATCTGTTCATCTGTCATTCTGATCATACAGTCAATAACTTTGTTGTTATTAGCATCTGGTTAGCTAGCTATGCTAACGAATATAAGAAGCTTTTTCTACAACCAGTGAGGTAAAGGCACATCTTTATATGATCATTATAGTTATAAACAAATAAGAGAATAAAGTAAACAGGTATAAAATACTATATGACAGTAAAAAAAGTTGTTATTAATAAAAAAAGAATACAGTTTGAAAGGAGAGTGATTTGTAAAATATCCATAAAGAAAAATAAAATCTGCTTACAGTTCTGTTTCATATGGGTGTTGAGAGATGTATCCATAGATCTCTTAATGTTGCTCTCAAAGTGCACGAGATTGATGCTTTGAACTTCAACATTTAAAAAAAAATCTTCCCGGGGGACCAAGCCCCCCGGACCCCCCTAGAGGAGGTTAGGTCCCCCCAACTTAAATCATGTTCACATGGATAGGAGTCTAAATACATTTGCACACATCTTGTGTCCATATCTTTCTGTTTTGGTGGTCATGCCACAACCGTGCACGTGCATGCATACGTGAGTCATGGTGAGATATCTGGATTAAGAGGTTGCTTTTTATTTGCACATCATGAAAGAAAGGCCAAATGAGTGGGCTGTGATTTTAGTATTTTTAAGCAGAGGTCAATAATTTGTACGGCCCTCGGAGGATGTTGAAAACATTGAAATGGCCCTTGAGAGGAAAAAGGTTCCCCACCCCTGCTTTATATAGTACAGGGAGGACTGTGAGCATCCGTTTTGAACATATATATTATAACAATATATTAAAAGTACAATACTAATAATTTATAAGATCAAGGTTTGAATTTCAATTAAATATTCTATGTCTAAAACAGATTTGGATGTATTTTTTGTAATGTTGTGGTGACAGAGAGAGCTCCCTGCCGCACATATAGCGCGACACAGTGGAAGTTTTGACTGCTGGAGTGTCTTTGGAGTTGCATGGTTTCTTTACCGTATAGTGTCCATCTGTTATAGTTTAATGTAATTTAGAAACTCTCTAGATTGTACCTTCTTTGAAACATATGGATTAACAGGTGGATTTTTATTTTCTCAACTAAATTGACTTCAAGTGGATTATGTTAAACTACACATCGCACCGGATACACATGGCCATGACTGACAGCTAAACAAACTTTGTGGCACTTACAGTAATATTTAAGACATATATCACATATGTCTATTACACATAACAGTTGGAAAATCATACAGGAATTATTATTCATAATTTGATATAACCAATTAAATGAAGAATCTCACCAGAATGGCCCCATATCTGTCCAAGTAAAGCCAACAAGACAAACACCACAGCTGCAGTCATCTTCCTGTAGATTAAATTCATATTCAGTTAATTGAATGAAATCTCAATTTAAAGACATATTATTTTACAAACACATACATACATATACATAACAAGCACATGTTTGAGATAACAATGTATTTGACTATATTGATTATATCAGGAAGGAAGCCACAGCTAAAATCCACCTCTTGCCATCCTTTTAGACACATGCCTAAATTGACCTGTTTCTCTGTTCTTTTCTTGTACATTTCTAAAGAAATCTCCGCCCCATCTAGAACATTTAAAAAAAAACACTTAACAGAAATATAAATAGATCTACCATGAAAGGAAGTTCTGAACTATACATGGTCACAAGTTTGATAATCGAAAATTAAAAATAAATTAGGTACATGACCACATAAATGTTATATTGGTAAATTGTTAAAGAAAATTGGTAACATAAACATTAGTATTTATATATCATTATTTTAACAATTGAAATAAAACGTTTTTCTCTCTTTCGCTAAATTATACATATCTATATAAACTTGAAGCTTATTTTTTTATCAAAATCAAGAATCTTGACGATTATCTCACATCTCTAGCTAGAATGCAAATATAGTTCTCATTTATAACACTCCGTTCGATGTCTCACTATGGGATGCGCCTCATCGCGGAGCAAACAGAAGCATCAATCTCATTACGCCAATCCTGATTGGCTGGTGATCTTGACGTCAGCATCAGGGAATCCACCCCCTATAAGTAGCTTGCGCTACGTCGCATGCGTCATTCAAACACCTCTTCTCGCTTCAGAGCACATCTCGATGGTAGCCGGGCTAGCTTAACGGTCCACAGACTGAACCCAAAGCTAACTTTCGGTCGACGGGCGCTCGCCGGCTAATCTTCTGCTTCGCAAGAAGACTGTTAATGCTAACACACCAGTTAGTATTACAATCGACCTCGCCGTTTCTTTCCTCGGAAATTAAGGTAAGGTTTTGATTTTTTCAAGCTAGCAACACACCTGTTGCTAGCTTGCTTTCCCTCACTACCGACACCACGGTAGCGAGGCTACGTACCTGTTACGAGCGGGTCCTCTCCACGCCACGCGGCGAACAAGATGGACGCCTCTCTCCCTCACACCAGAGGAGTCAGGGACTCGGAGGCTCGGCTCTGCGGCTGCGGGTTGAAAATATCAGGCACAGACTCACACCAGGTCTGCTCGTCCTGCCTCGGGCTGGAACACGCCCAGGAGGCTATTGACAACCCTGGCTCGTGCGGGCATTGTGCCCGCTTCACTCTAAAGAGCCTCCGCCGACGGTTAGCACGCCAAGCTAGCTTGTCGGGACAGGACCCCCTCATGTCCGCTGATTTGCCAGCTGGCAATCAAGACACGGGGGCGTCCGCCGCAGAGATTGAGCCCCGCACTGTGTCGGTCTGGGGCTCATCAACAGCGGCAGCTGCGGAACCGGAGTCCCGCGCAGTGTCAGGCTGGGACCCGGTGGCGGCAAGAGACGTGAGAACGGAGCCCCACGCTTTACCAAGCTTGGGCTCCCGGCTGGACCTCACCATGGTTTCACCCGCGGAGGATGTCCTGGAATTGGATTATATGGAGGACGAAGAGGGTGCCTCTGAGTTCCTCCTGTCTGATTCGGATGAGCAAGAAGATGATATCTTCGTGTCATCGGCTCAGGCTGAAAAGCCGGGAGCGATGGCTGCTCTCCCGGGCGATAGCACACCAGCTTCGCCCTGTCTGAGCATGGACCTGCAGGCCGTGTGTCAGCGTGCCGCGTCCAGACTAGACATCCCGTGGCCTGAAATGGCCAAGGAGACCTCCAGGTCCCGTTACAAGGGGAAACATTTTCCCCAAGCAACGAGGACAAAGAGGCAACTCCTTCCAGTCTTCCCGGAGATGTTGGATGAGGTGTCGGTCTCGTGGAGAGACCGGCCCTTTAGCAACAAGGCCCCAATCCAGGGTGCCTCCTCCCTAGACTGTGACGGTATGGAGAGGCTCGGCCTGCTCCGCATACCGCCTATGGAACCGCTGGTGGCAGCTCACCTCCTACCGAGGATGGGCCCGTCACCAAGCAGGAACCCCACGCTGCCAGCGAAGGCGGACCGATTCCAGTCGACCATGACTGAACGGTCCTACAGAGCCGCAGCGTTGTTAGCCAGGGCTTTGAACGTTTCCTCGCTGCTAACCGCATACCAAGCAGAGCTCTGCGAGGATCTGTCAAGCAATCCTGGACCGGCCGTTCTGGACGAGATGGCCGCGATCACAGACATTTGTCTCCGTGTTCAACGCTGCGCCGTCCAGGCCACGGGCAAGGCAATGGGGATCATGGTGGTGCAGGAAAGAACTAGATGGCTCAACCTCACCAACCTCCCAGACCGGGAAAAGGAGGATGTGCTAGACATGCCCATCGTTCCCGAGGGGATTTTCGGCTCCGCTCTCGCCTCCATGCAGAGGAGATGCGAGTCGAAAAAGAAGGAGGACGAGGCCCTCCACCTCTGTCTCCCTCGAAGGGTCCAGCCGCTGCGTTCACAGCGGCAGTCCTTCGCCCAAGCTGCCTCGAACCCTGCTCAGTTCAAAGTACCAAAACAGCAGAGGTCGCAGCCCGCCCCGAGTCCCCAGCCCAGGCAGGAGACGAGGGCGAGTTGGCCTAGAAAATCTCCGGTTCCGGCTGCAGCCCAGGCGCAGCCAACCCAGAATTTCGGCCAGCAGTCGAGGAAGAAGAAGCGGGTGGCCTGACAGCCCCTCCTTCTCCCCTCTGTGACAGAGCTGGAAGTCCACGGTTCCCCAGCTCTAGATGTGTTCCCGCCGCCTCGAGAGATGCCTCAACGCCATCCTCAAGTCCGCAAAAACACATGTCACAATGTTGTTGTTGTTTCTCACTTAAACCATTTTCCGCTGACGCATCCAGGCTTCAAGCCAAGGGCGCAGCTCAAAAAAATGAAAAGAAAAACAATAAAAACAATAAACAGTCCGTCAACTGTTCCCCTTCTGAGAGCAGCTACAGCCTCTCTCAAAAGGCGGATAATAGACGGGTCTGTGAAGGCACCACCGTCACGCGCATGCGCAGTGCCGGCTGGGGTTGTGAAGGCACCACCGTCACGCGCATGCGCAGTGCCGGCTGGGGTTGTGAAGGCACCACCGTCACGCGCATGCGCAGTGTCGGTGGGGATTGTCGAAATGGGGTACCACCGTGTTCAGACACTAGAGGGCCCCATAACACAACAAATAGAGACTCAGAGGCTAAGAGACGTGACATCTCCGCTGGCTCTAAGGAGCATGCAGTGGAAGATGCTCACAACATCTGCTTGGGTTTTCAAGACAGTAACACGGGGCTACAGACTCCAATTCGCTGTCACCCCCCCTCGCTTCTCGGGCATTCTGTATTCACAAGCCCGAGGAGAGTCAGCCCATATTCTAGAGAGAGAGATCCTCTCACTTCTAGAAAAGAGGGCTATATCTATAGTACCCGCCGAGCAAGAGTCAGAGCGTCTTTTATTCCAAGTATTTCCTCGTTCCCAAACGGGGAGGGAACGGGATTCGGCCAATACTAGATTTGAGGGTTCTGAACAAATATCTAAAAAGATACAAATTCAGAATGCTCACTCACACATCTCTGCTGCGGCTCGTGCGACAAAACGACTGGTTTACATCAGTCGACCTGAAAGATGCGTATTGATCCACATCCCAGTATATTACCCACACAGGAAATATCTGAGATTCGCATTTCAGGGGATCTGTTACGAATACAGAGTACTTCCCTTCGGTCTGTCTCTCAGTCCAAGAGTGTTTGTACGATGTACGGAAGCCGCGATAGCCCCGTTAAGACAACAGGGTATTCGCCTGGCGACCTACCTAGACAACTGGCTGCTTCTCGCACAGTCGGAGCAGGAGGCTATTACGCAGACAAATGTCCTCGTAAAGCACCCGCTCAACCTGGGTTTCATAATAAACACAGAGAAGAGCATGTTGTGCCCAGCACAGACTGTACTCTTCCTGGGTTTACACCTGAACTCGGTGCCCTTTACAGCCCGCCTGTCAGCGGAAAGAGTGAAAGCTTTCAGAGCTTGTCTCGCTCATTTCAAGCTGCGCAAACATGTTCTCTTCAGATCATGTCTGCGGTTACTGGGGCTCATGGCGTCAGCCATCCTGGTCGTACGACTGGGACGCTTACACATGAGGGAGTTTCAGCGCTGGGTAGCCGCTCTAAAACTAAACCCCGCGCGTCATGGCGCGCGGGAGAGTACGCCCCTACACACGGCGGCGTGCGTTGCCGCTTCAACGCTTCTGCCCATTCACTTTTAATGGGGTGACGTCACGATTCGCCGATCTGCATTGTGGGAGCAAAGCGTAGCTTCTCTCGCGGTGCTCGCTGCAAAAGTAGAGCAATGTTCTACTTTTGCCGCCTCGACGGAGGCGTCAGCCAATCAAATCCCGCGTATGCAAATCTGACATTACAAGCGCTAGCCAATTAAACCGCGTGTATGCCAGACCGCAGTTCATTTCCTCATATGCCAAAAAATGGAAGAGAAAATAATCGTAGCGGTAGGGAATCACCCGGTGCTTTATGATCAGTCTCTGTTCACCTACCGGGATACAAACCAGAGGAGCCAGGCATGGAGGGAGGTGGCAGAGACAGTGGGTGAAACTGGTAGGTTTTCGCCTGTTTGGGGAGTTTATATCCAGTGTACTTCGTTTGAATGGACAGCTAGCAGGCATAGACAGTATTTAGCCTGCATGGAATGTTGCGTAAAATAGCACCATAGGCGTTAATGTCATAAATGTTCATCATATAAAGTGTGACATGTAAAACCTTTTATGCAATTGACAGGAGAGATTCATGTGATTGGTTGTTGGTCGCGTTGCTTGCGTAAACTCCCCAAGCTCAAGACACGCCCACCGCCAAGCGGCAACGCACGTAGGGGCCGTGAAAGTTATGGCCCCTACACACGGCGGCGTGCGTTACCGCTTGGTGGTGGGCGTGTCTGAAGCTTGGGGATTTTTTACGAACAACTCGACCAACAACCAATCACATGAATGTCCCGCCCCGGACATACAAAGCAAAGCATTCATGCTACATCCATGCTGGCTAAATATACTGTCTATGCTTGCTAGCTGTCCATTCAAGCGAAGTACACTGGATATAAACTCCCCAAACAGGCGAACACCTACCAGTTTCACCCACTGTCTCTGCCACCTCCCCCCATGCCTGGCTCCTCCGGTTTGTATCCCTGTATGTAAAGAGGGACTGGTCATATAGTACCGCCACGATCATTTTCTCCTCAATTTTTTGACATATGGGAAATAACTGCGATCTGGCTCTCCCAACATACACGCGGTTTGATTGGCTAGCGCTTGTAATGTCAGATTTGCATACGCGGGATTTGATTGGCTGACGCCTCCGTCGAGGCGGCAAAAGTAGAACATTGCTCTACTTTTGCAGCGAGCACCGCGAGAGAAGCTACGTTTTGCTCCCACAATGCAGTTCGGCGAATCGTGACGTCACCCCATTCAAAGTGAATGGGCAAAAGCGTTGAAGCGGCAACGCACGCCGCCGTGTGTAGGCTCCGTTACGGTACGTCCACACAGCAGCTTTTCAAAAATCTTGAAAATCTTGGAGCTGGGCGTGTCTGAAAGCTTGGGGATTTTTTGCGAGCAACGCGACCAACAACCAATCACATGAATCTCCCGCCCCCGACATACAAAGCAAAAAACCTTGGGGATTTTATGCGAGCAATATATATATAAACTCCCCAAACAGGCAAAAACCTACCAGTTTCACCCACTGTCTCTGCCACCTCCCTCCATGCCTGGTTCCTCCGGTTTGTATCCTGTTAATAGTTCTTGTCGTAAAGAACCAGGTGATTTGCTACTGTAATTTCTCGTTTGGAATATGAGGAAATGAACTGCGGTCTGGTTCTCCCTGCTTACACGCGGTTTGATTGGCTAGCGCTTCTACTGTCAGATTTGCATAAACGGGATTTGATTGGCTGACGCTTCCAGCTCAGCTTCAAAAGTTGAACATTGCTCAACTTTTGAATCCTGAAAATCCTGGAAATCCTGGAAATCTTCGCTTTGCTCCCCCACAATGCAGTTCGGCGAAAAGCGAGGCAAAGTGACGTCATCCCCATTCAAAGTCAATGGGCAGAGAAGCGTTGGAAGCGTTGAAAGATTTGTTTAAAGCTGCTGTGTGGACGTACCGTTACTGTGAAATGCGTAAGGGTACTGCGCCACTGGTTGCACCCGACTTTTCTACTACGGGGCGTGCCTATGGGTGCTGACGTGCTGTCCTTTCACGGAAGGAGGTCACCACGGACAGGGTGGGGAGGTATTTACAAAGGTCGTGCGGTGAGGGGTCTCTGGAGCAGAGACCTCCAGCGGGCGCACATAAATTACCTGGAGCTTTTAGCGGTGTTCCTCAACCTAAAACGCTTTCTGCCTTTTCTCAGAGGACATCATGTCCTCAGACACTAGAGGGCCCCATAACACAACAAATAGAGACTCAGAGGGGAAGAGATGTGACATCTCCACTGGCTCTAAGGAGCATGCAGTGGAAGAC